AATTACTAATGAAATTTATTTTAATTAAAAATAAAATATATATTTAGTTGGTGATTTTTCGAATTAAAAAAAATAGAAAATAATTTGATTAAATTACTGACTGATTATCGATAAAATTTTATTAAATACATAATTAATATATATTCGTTCTTTTAAGGTGCATTTGTATCCAGACAGAATAATACAAAACAAAACATGACACAACAATTATTCAACGTTTGGTAAAATAGAATAAAAAACATAAGAACTAAAATGACCAGTTTATCTATAATGAGTAATTGTCATTTATTAAATTATAATAATATAAATATTTTTTAAAAACAAATTATATCATTAGAAAATTTTCGTTAATACAATTAAAATGACCTTAAAATAAAAAGTTCATGTAGTTTTCAATTTTTATTTTAACATTTTCTATGTTTTTATTATTATTATTAATACTTAATAAATTACATAAATTAATGAAAATATAGAAACCATAAACAAATATTTTGAACATAGTAAAATGAAAGTTTAAATAACATAAAATACAATAAATAATATTTAAAGAATAAATAAAATATAAAGAGCAAGATGTATTTGATGTTTTAAAAGAGAATCATATTTTATTTTGAGGTTATATTATTATGATATAGATCAGTTTCACTTTGTTCTATTGTAGAAGAGAATTATATTTTATTTTGAGATTATATTATTATGATATAGGAGTGCTTCACCTTATTCTAGGAGGTGTGGGTGAAACACATCTGTTCCAATTTGTTTCTTTTATGAATTTTTTCTTATTACCCAATCAAAATCGATTTTATGATTTTGATCCCTGTTTTTCTCATGGATAAACGACAAAAGAAATCGATAAAATGATGAAAAGGCCTTGCATGCATTTAACGGAATTTTTAATGACCGCAAAAAAGATGGACCAAATCCAGACACTTTGTAAACAACAATGACCATCTTGTAATTTCGAAACTGCAAAAACTAATTTTCCACAAACCAAATTTGTAGTTTACTAAAAAGGAAAAGGAAAAAGAAGAAAAGAAATGATATGATCACTCTAATTATGGGTTGGGTTGATCGAGTTGAATACATTTAAACAACCCAATCCAATGCTTGCGGTTTGGAAAAAATTTAACCCAACCCAAATCAAAGTGCAACCCAACCCAACCCAACCCAACCCGTACGGGTTAGTCGGGTTGGTCGGGTTGATACTTTGTTATATTAAAATATTCTTCTAACCTTGAATATGTTATTTTTCTACTCATAATTTTTTTTCATCAACAATCATTTGATACAACTTATTCATATTTCTTACGTATATCACATTCAGTTAATTTTCTTAATTTACATATATATGTTCACAGTTACTGAACATATATATGAATGAGTTATATAGAGATATGAATAGATTGAAAATATATGTATATGAAAAACATACATAATAGTGTAATTGTATAATGTATATATCAACAATCATATTAAATTCAAGAAATAAAAGGATATTGGGTTCATCGGGTTGGGTTCAAATAATAGTAACTCAATATTGTGACAGCCGTCAAATTCGAACTCTCAGGTTAGCTCTTTTTAAGATTATTTTAGTGTTATTGAAGGTAATTTATAAGATTAGGAGTTAGTTAGGTTAATTTGGTTGAAATTTTTTAAGAGAATCCAGCAGTTGCTTAGAAAGTCCGGTTCCGACCCGAAATTATCTGAAACATCCTATACAGTACCAAATGCTCT